CTTGGGAGTCCCTGGAACAACTAACTGAATGAACTAATTGAGAAGAGTGTTTATAGAAGAGTAACCAGTAGAATTCAATGGAAGCCCACCGGAAAACACATGGAAGGAAACACATATCAAGCAGATATATGGATGTCATTTCCTCTGTGTTTCTGCTAAGGATGCCCGGATACAGCGTGCCTACTTCTAACATTGCAATTTCCTGAAAAGATGGAAAACCAATCAGAACCAAGAAATTAGCAAACAAAAGGCACAAGTAACTTGATTGGCCTAGTTTACTCACTGTGCTAAACTATCCTGTAATTTATTTGATTTTGATTTAAGATGTTGTCTGAACTCTGCCATACTGGTTCATGTGCACAACTCTTATTTTTTACAGGGTTTATAGGCTGGTCCAGTGAGAATTAACTCTGAGCAGTTAACATGTAAATTTGGTCACTGTGGTTGCTCAGTAAACATAGTTTGAAGAATCCGTGGCTTAGTGCAATGTATGAAGCCAGCTACTGTTTGAAAGTCTCAAATAGATTAAATTCATTTGAAGCCTTGCAAGAATGCAAGGTGAATTTAGGGCATATCTATTACCAGTATTGATGCAAAGATGTGGTTAATGTTAAAAACCCAGAGCTGCTTGGAACAGGGCAACATAGAAATGATGTAATTAAAAATAAAAGATTCAGTGATGTAGAAAAAGAGTATTTTCTCTAATACATAGATGTTTAACGTTTCGGCTCTTCTTCAGCTTGCATAGGCACCTTTAAAAAAAGTGGTTATTCCTCATGGTGATGTACAAAAGAGCAAATGTCAGACAGAACATCAAAAACTCAGCTTTCCATGAGACTGGACAGTTCTTGCCACATTATGTAACTCCACAAAAGTCATACCAACCTTCCCCAACCTGGAGCCCTCCACATGTTTGACTACAACTCCCATCAACCCTAGCCAGACCTATTATTTTGCTAATTAGAGATTATGGATATAGTAGCCAAACATATCCAGAAGACATTCTCTTTACATTGATTGCAGCTACTTCCAAAGTACATCACAGTTCCATGACTCTTTCATCCTGGAATTCTGCATTCTGCTTTACTATAAGATAATATGACACTCCAGACAAGAAATTGCACTGAGTAGCTGGTTAGTGTTCGTCTAGAGCAGCCAACACAGATGCATACATGCCCTCCAAAAATAGGGAAGGAATACAAATCAGGTCAAAAATAGGGAACAGAAACACCCTCATTAAGTTCAGTGACCTATAACAAATGAACTTCTTTTGGCTACCTTTCATCACTTGTTTGCTTTCAGGAAAGTTGCAAAAGTGGTTTAGCAGAACAAGGCTGTCTGGGGGTTGAGGGGGGAAACTGGGCAACTGTCTTATTTCTATTGGATCATTCTTCCTAGCTATTAGCTTTTGGTGTAGCCTTTAGATGGATTAAATGCCTTTTGGCAATATATAACTTGGGTGGTTTATCAGTGACAAATCAGGAAGGCATAGGGACATCAATTTACAGGTTGCTGGGTAAATATAAGATCAGTTGGCCAATGTTTCATATTTAAACTGGCCCCATACAAAGGAAGTAATGCAATATTTTCTTCATTTGACAGGGGAAACAGAATATTATCAAGATGCACTGGAAGGTGTTGTTTGCATTTGCACACACTTGGGCCTTGATCCACAGCTTAGAAAGCAACATTTGATCCCATCTCTGTATGTAAGTTAGGAGTAGAAATGGTCCTGTCAATAAGATGGTAAAATATTCCTTGACCTTTCAGGGCCCGTAATGTAACATTTGACAATCTTCTTTTCCCTCATACTTCTATCCAGATCAAAACAGACTGAAGTTGTCCATTTCTAAGTTTAACTGCTATGAATGTCCAGGTGCAAAATAAGACCAGGTCCTATTTATATGAACAATTCTGTGATATAGCTGTGCCCTGGTTTAACCACTGAGCTTTCCCAGAGGATTGATGGAGTCACTTGCCTATTTTCATATCTTATTTTAAACTGATCATGAGGTTAAGATTTCCTATCATGTGCAACATCTATTACTATATCATTCAGAAGGATAGTAAAAGAGATCTCACGTAGGCAGGAAACTTTTAGATGATGATATTCTAATCCAGGAGATAAGGATGTAATCTTTCTTTTTCCTGAGACTCCCAGTTTCATTGTCCTCTAATTCAGAGTCTACAGGCAAATCTCATGTGACCCTTGGAAATCAATTGTGTCATCCCTGTGGAAGTAAGAGTAAAACAGACTCCTCCATTGTTTGGTTTCCTTTGGCCCCCTGGAATTTGCCACAAGGGAGATGAGTATGGAGCACAAAAGTCTTCTCAGTAATATTAAAGCAAAGTCTAGAATTACCTACTAAGCTTTGAGGCACCTGCAAATGGCTTTACTATGCCTTCTTCTCTGAGCAAGGCATGGAAGTGCAACCAGTGACTCTACCCTTTATATGGGTAGCATGAGGAAAAAGAGGATTAGTCTGCTGAATGCTCAAGGTACCCATTGAAACTGTAAGATCTGGGTGCCCTTCTCCTTGTGAAACAACCAAATTTACTGGTGACAGAAATATAATGGATTAAGGGGAGTGTGAGTTGGTTACGCAGATGAGGCAAAATAGAGCAATTTTCCATGCATATATATCATTTTCCTACTCCTACACAAGAAACTAGAGAGACTTATGGAAAGGTGGCGTGACTTGGTCTTTTCACAGAAAGGGTGCATACAGTGAATAACTCTCAAGCATCAGAAACTAATCTGATATTTTAATATCTATGGTCTATTTTGTATTTCAAGTAAATACTGACAGGTAAGGTAATCAAGAACCTTGCCAACAGAGATACAGTGAGGTAAGCCACTATTATCATCTCATCTCAGAATCACAAAGGCAGTTTCTCTGAAAGCACTGAGAGGTTGTGGTGAATTGATTATCATCATTGTCAAGTACATAAATGGATGAACTCATATTTCAGTTCAGATGCCCAAGACATTAAATATTATTTCTTGGACCACACACTTTTTGGTGATCAAAACTTGTGGCCTGTACAAGTTATTTCTCTGAAAAGCATCCTCACAATTTTTTTTTTTTTAAAAAACAGCATTAAGTACAAATTAAAATACAAGGCAGTTAGCGTATCTATAGCCTATGGAACAACAACTGCTAGATGCAGAAAGTAGATTCAGAAGAGGTGGCACATTGCTAACATCTGGTAGATAATGGAAAAGGCAAGGGGGGGGATCCAAAAAGAAGTGTATTTATTGCTTTATTTGCTTTTGACTGTGTAGATCACAAGATATCATTGATGGCTCTTAAAAACAGGATGGTACTGAGTCATCACATCTGCCTATTGAAGAACATACAGGATGATTAGGAAGCAATAGAAGAGAATATGGAGCAAATAAATGTTTCCAAATTGGGAAAGGAATGGACTGACATTGTTTAGTGTCCCCTTATATTCTGTATATAAGTGAAATAAATGTCATAAAAATACTGAAGAAGAAGAAACAGAATTTCAAATTATAATTGCAGGGAGAAACTTCAATAGCATCAGGTATGTTGGTGATACCACTTTGATGTCCAGACATGAGAAACCTAAGGACTCTTTTGTTAAAGGGGAAAGAAGAGAGTACAAAAGTCAGTCCCCTTCTCAATATTAAAAGAAGTAAGATTATTACAAAGCCAACCCCATACAAATAGGCACAGAAGTAGAATAAGGAACAGACTTTATCTTTCTAGCTCAAAAATCTATGGGGATAATGACTGTGGCCATGAAATAAAGAGGCATCTGCTGCTAGGGAGAGAGAGTATGATAGATCTACTCAAAAGATTAAAGTGAGGAGACATTGCACTGTCAACAAAGACATGCATTATCAAGACCCTAATTGAAAGCTGGACCACTAGAAAGGCTAAATGGAAAAAAAAATTGTTTTTGAATTATGTGGTTGGAGAAAAAAAGTTAAGAATACCTTGGAAAGCAGTGACAAATCATGAAATACTAGATACCAAACAAACAACGAAGCAAAAGCTTAAGTAACTTCGACACATAAGGCAAAGGCATGAATCACTGGAGACGAACCTTCAAAAACAGACCAACTGAAGACAAGGTGGTTAGGTATTCACCAATGATAAAAGCATGAGCTCACAAGAACTCAAAGAAGCAATTACTGACAGAAAATCTTGCCCAAAAGATGTTCATCAGATCATTAGAAATCAGAAAAGACTGAACAATAGCAAATGAATGACCTGATAGCTAGTTTTCCCCCAGAAAATAATGGAACAAATGTTTACTTCATCTGAAACACAGTAAATTTTTGTTCGGTCTCTCTTACACTAGCCAGACCTATATTATGGCTACATGTAGTGAGATTTCCTCTCCTTTCTCTGCACTGAGGCCATAGCATGTGTTGTAAAAGGCCAGGAAAGTAGAGTAGGCTATGGGAAACTCACCACACAATGATACTATCACATTTTTTTCCCTTTCAAAATATAAACTGGTGCTTCGGGTGAGGAAGGAAGGAGAAGCGAAGCTACTTGCTTACACAATGCACAATTATAGCATATAATATGCTATGAACTTTCACTCTCCCAATATCCATCTTTCCTAGCATACTAGAAAAAAATAAATAGCAGAAAGGCTACGGCTACAGCACTCAGTAGCCCATTTTGCAATAACTTCAACTCCACGGCAGCCTGGGTATGTTCCCTTGGACACAGCATTTATACTCTCACAAATTTTTCATTCATATACTACCATACAAGCAAAACAGTATGAAAACTCAGTGGGCTCTCTTTATAGCATTTAGAATAGTAGAAAGACCAACTCTTCCTATGGACCCACTGTTTAACTGAATGTTGTACTTTTTGAGAAGAACCAGCCCTCAGAATACTAAAGCTCTTGAATTACAACTTTTTGTACAGGACTCATTTACAAACTGTCAGTGAAGGAAGCTTTCAAAACTTTCCCACACTCTCATTACAGATCAGACTGAAGGAACTCACCAGCAGATGAGAGCGGCTATCACAGCAGTCCAAGTGATGCAACAAGAATTGGGCTTCTTAGTCTCCGACTCCTCCTCCCTCTTGCAGCAAGACAGGCAGATGAGATAGATCCCAAGGAAAACCAGGTTGAGACCCAAGAAGAGAACTCCAGTCAGGGCCAAGAGGATCAAGGACTACGAGACAGGAGGAAAGAAGGGGAGAGATGTCTGTTAAGCCTTTGTTTATGGCTTAAAAAACAAGTAAAACAATTTCATGCCATCAGTCAAAACACACATTTAAGGCTGGAACCAGAATTACCAGCCCTAATGCTAATCCCTAACTTTGTTCTTACCATAATTTCAGAACTGAATACTTGCTTTTTATCATCAGTTGACTCTTGTAAAAGAATTGCAAAATGGATAGAAAGATTCAACCCAATGAACTTCTTGTACACCACAGTATTCAAAGTTAGTTTAAAACTACCCTTTGTAGAATGAACAACTTTAGAAGTTCACTCAGATTTTGTCTTGCTTAAGCTAGTTTTCTGTAAAGCAAAGGAACAGAAAAGGTGTCAAATGTGTTAAGATCTATTTTCATACATATGCCAACACGAACAGTTTGTACCTCTTCAATCAAGAGTCAGCAAGAAGTACTGACATTAACTCCAAACATGCATCTCAGCAGAAATATTCTCACCTGGTAGTCCGAATTAGTTATTACTTCAACCATGGGGGAATTATTCTTTTAGCACGTGCAGTTGCTCCAGTGTACTGTGACAGTCTGTCATACAGAGATATAGGAAGGTTTCCTGGGAAAAGAACTGGGGAGAATAGGGAAGGGATAACGTCTCCAATGTTCTTCTCTGAGAGGTATAAATATCTGGGAAAAAATAGGGAATTCTTTTTTTTTTCCTGGTCTAAACAACCTTTTCTAACCAATAGTTTGGAGATAATGGCCTGAGCTGGAATGTAAGTACCTACAAATCATCTCATTTCCATTATTATTTCTTTTCGATTTACTCTGTAGTCATATTCAGTTTACTCCTAATTTATCCACTAAGTCCACTGACTGTAATTAAGGGCAACATCCATGCCCAATTTTTCTCTTCCACCTAGAAGTAACCCAAGAAAGGCAGCTCAGTGCCACAGAAGGGAACAAACCCTTGAACAGCACAGAAGAATTAAACTTGGCAATTGCAAACCAAATTGTTAAGTTCTGCTATAGCATCCACTTAAACAGCTATTTATTTACTCTATCAAATGTATAGTTCTCTAGCAGTTAAACAAACAAGACAAAGTAAAACTCATGGAATCCAAATAAGAATCTCTACAAACTTGGAAGGTCAGGAAGTTAAAAACGATCCTGCTGTTACATGCAGGCAGTGTTGATTTTTTTCAAGAATAAGTAACAAATATTCTTTGAGTAGACCTATCTCTGAACTGGTCATAAATGTTGCTCATATTGCAGACCTTAAGGCCCATTACTTTTACAAATAGGCATGTGTGATAAACACAAATTATAGATATTGGAGATAGAGATATTATCAAAATATGCACTGAAGCATCCAATTCATTGTGTGAAGAACTAGTGATTTGCCTCTGAGAAGAATAAACACAATCCTTATTTTCAATGGTTACTCGTCTTGCAAATAAAGTTACAAATGTTAGTAGCAACTACCGTCACCCAACTGTATCACTTGTGTGTGACATGAGGGGTTAAAAGGAAAAAAAAAAAAATTAAGAATCACCATCTGTTTTCCAAAATCACAAGAACGAGTCTTACTTGCCATGTACAAGCAACTAAACGGCCCTTTACAAGCTTTATGTACCTAAACAGAAGTGCCATTCTCCTGTAAGAGGTAATTATGCCTCAAACAACTTTAACATTAATAGTTGCACAAATGCAGGCTATTTCAAGGCCCTTTTCAGGCTGGCAGTAATACAACTGTCTGTTTACTGATTTTTAAAAATGTTTTCCAACACATCATCCAGTTAACTCTGCAATGTAGAAGTGGTTTTACTTTTGCTGGCAGCAAGCACACTGCATTTAGAATGCCTGAAGCCAGCCAAACTCTATGTGAAAGATGGAACTCTCTCAGCACATGAAAAAAAATTTTTGGTTACAAACCATTCTTCATTTGTAGGATTGCAAATTGGCCATAATAAACATTAAGAAAGGCACAGTGCTAAAATCCAAATGAAATCCCTAATTAAGCAGGAAAAAAGCGTAGGATGGCTATTTGCTGCAAGGTCTGAAACTACTGCCTAAACTTCTTTAAAACTTTGTTAAAAGCAGCAGCAGCAAACTCCCCCCCCAAAAAAAACACAAAAGCTTAATTTCCTCCAATGGTCAGGTATGTAAATCAAGTGATTTCTCGCTAACCACATGACTGAGGAAAGACTATAATTCCTGGAGGGTGCGGAATTTAGTATAAGATACTCTTATGAAATTGCTTATGGTATTTTCTTCTAAGCTAAATCATCAGTGCCAGTCTTCAAGAAACATCTGGCAGGGATACAAGGGGATGGAGCTGGAAGGAAGAAAACAGAGAATGGAGGAAAAGTTTTTAAATGGGAGTATATGCAAGCTGAGCTATCAAATGGACAAGACACAACTCTGTATCTTACCTGAGTGTCAAACACTTAGAAATATATCCCTTATTTAGCAAATTCTAAGCAATAATTATTTACAGCTAAGCTTTTATTTCTTGATTAGGGGAGAACCATAAGATCTGCCTTGTCATGTAAAAGGGAGACACATTTGTAGTGTAGAAATAATGGCCAGGAATGGAACAATTCATACTTTGTACCTCTCCCTGCCACCACTTTTTCCTAAAGACATCAGAAATACCGTAAAAAGAAGAAAATATAAGGCTTGGGGAAGCATTTGGGAAAGAATGGGCAGTCAGAGGATGCTTTAACCTTCTCAACTGTCCCTGAAAATGCTACCCACTGAGCACTACTGTTTACTTCAAAAAGTTTGGAAAATGCATGCACTTCACTCTTAGTGCACATGGATGTGGATACGCTCTCACTGCAGAGTTGGACATCCCATAAGGGAATGATGGCATTAATATTATCATATGCACATACACATGTACATTTCTTTGCAGCCTGTGCACTTTCCATCCCAGGAGGTAAGACAGGAATCGTAAGAATCCTAAAATGTATGAGTTGGAAGAAACATATTGGTCATTTCTCCCAACCTCTTCTTCAAGGCAGGACTCCATTAATCTCTGACAGGGGGCAATTCAGACTATCGGAAACTCTCCAGCAAGCGGGAGCCCAACATGGTTTAGGCAACCTATTCCACTACTCAACAGTTCTCTCCACCAGATTATTCCTTACGTTTAGGGTGACTCTCACCCAGGTGCAGCTGACAGTTTTGATTTATTGAGTCATATTCTGCAGAATATGTATGGCTGTGGCAGAATATG